GGGGAGGCTCTGGGGGCGCTCACCAGATCCGGGCGGGGGGCTCAGGGCCATCACTCCGTAGTAGGAGAAYGCTCCCGCCTCGAACTTCATGCACTCCTTGCCAGCCTCCACCTCCACCTTGCCCTGCCAGGAGAGACAGCATTGATCCCTCGGGATGGATCCCAGGGGTGGATCCCTGTCCCCCGGGGATGGATCCCTGTCCCCACCCTCCCAGGGATGGATCCCTGTCCCCCACCCTCCCAGGGGTGGATCCCTGGCCCACAGAGGGTGGATCCCGGTCCTCCAACCCCCCAGGGATGGATCACCATCCCCACCCTTCCAGGGGATGGATCCCTGGTGTCAATCCCAGGGGTGGATCCCCGTTCCCCACCCTCACAGGGATGAAATCCTTGTCCCCCAGGGATGGAACCCCAGGATGGACCCCTATCCCCCAGCCTTCCAGGGGATGGATCCCTTGGAATGGATCCCTGCCCACAGCCTCCTAGGCCTCAGGATGGATCTCTGTCCCACAGCCCCTCCCACGGGATGGATCCCCACAATGGAACCCTATCCCTCAGCTCCCCAGGGATGGATCCTCATCCCCCACCCTCCCTGGGGATGGATCCCTGTCCCAGTGCCAGAGCCTCTCAGGGTGGTGGATTCCCAGGGATGGATCCCCATCCCCACCCTCCCAGTGGGGGGATCCCTGTTACACAGATCCCTGGGGATGGATCCCTGTCCCACAGCCTCCCAGGGGGATGGATCCCTATCCCCCACCTCCCCAGGGGGGATGGATCCCTGTCCCACAGCCTCCCAGGGCAGTGGATCCCCAGGATGGATCCCATGAATGGATCCCCACCCCCCACCCCAGGATGGATCCCATGAATGGATCCCCAGGGTGGATCCCAGGACGGATCCCATGAATGGATCCCCAGGATGGATCCCAGGATGGATTCCTGTCCCACATCCCCCAGTATGGATCCCCATCCCCCACCCCAGGATGGATCCCATGAATGGATCCCCATCCCCCACCCCAGGATGGATCCCATGAATGGATCCCCAGGATGGATCCCTTTTCCCATCCCCTCAGGATGGATCCCCATCCCCCACCCCCCAGGACAGATCCCATGAATGGATCCCCAGGATGGATTCCTGTCCCACATCCCCCAGGATGGATCCCATGAATGGATCCCCATCCCCCACCCCAGGCTGGATCCCGTTCTGGGTACCTGCAGGATGAGGATGAAGTAGTCGGCCGGTTTGTTTTTGCAGTACAGGAAGTGCCGCGGCGATTTCTTGTTCTCCTCGTCGAACTTGAGCTCCTGGATGACGTCCGAGTACTTGAGCAGCCGCAGCAGGATCTTCTCCGAGATGAACGTGGGGGTGAAGAGCGTCACCTCTGTGGGGGGAGAGGGGTCAGGGTGTGGGGTCAGGGGTGTGGGGTCAGGGGTGTGGGGTCA